CGAGAAGGGGGGCGGAGGGGAGGGGGAGAGAAGGGGGAGGTGGAGGTGGAGGAGGAGGGCGACGACGACTGCCGCCCCTCCCCTCGCCCGCCCTTGCCTTTCCTGCGCTCTCCGCGCCTCCCCCCCGCCCATCCCGCCCGGGCCGCAGGCCGCCACAATGCTCGAGGGCGCTGACAAGGACGAGCCCGACGGCGAGCCGATCGGGGCCAAGGGCGAGCACGTCGAGCACCCCGACGAGACGATCGAGCACGAGGAGGCCGTCGACGCGATGATCGAGCCCATCGGGACCCAGGTGGACGATGGCGACTTCAGCGAGCTTGCCGAGGGCGAGGCGACGAACCTGGGCGCGGCCGCCGACGTCGCGAGCCTCGCAAGCGAGGAGCCCCAGGGGGCGCGCGGCGGCAGCGGCAGGGGAGGGCGACCCGCCTGTGCAGCATCTCGGCGACGAGAGCCCGCACCGCGTCAGCGGGTCGTGGAACGAGGATGACTGAGCGCCTGACAGGATGCATAAGGGTTGAGAGGGTGAACGGGAGGAAGAGGAGAAGTGGAGGTGGGAGGTGGATGAGGGGGAGTGAGATGAGGAGGAGGGCCAGGATGAGGCGGGGGTGGCGGAGGAGGAGGAGGAGGAGGAGGAGGAGGAGGAGGAGGATGGGGGAGGAGGAGGAGGGGGAGGAGGAGGAGGAGGAGGAGGAGGAGGAGGAAGAGGAGGAGGAGGAGGAGCAAGGGGAGCTGGGGGAGGTAGAGGAGAGGCCCGAAGGAGGAAGGGCAACAGGCAATGCAAGGCACGGTAGGCGAGGCAAGGCGAGGCATGAGAAAACGATGTGAGACAGGGCAACGCAAACAATGCAAAAGCGAGGCATGACAAGGTAGGCAAGGCATGGCAACGCAAGCGATTGCAAGGCAAGACGAGGCATGCGATGTAGGCATATGCCACGCGAGGTGCAGCGCAGGCTTAGGCGACGCGAGGTTGGCAAGGTGGGCGACGCAGGTGCATGTCACGCAGGGTGCAGGCTCCCACATTTCGCTGGGCGAGACCCGCGCGCAAGGGCTGGAGTGGCGCCAATTGGCAGCCCGTTGTCTCTCGTTTTTTTGTTGAGCGGCGCCATAGCCGCCGCCGAAGTTTCCGCCCGCTGCACCCTGGCACCGAAAACGACAGACAGGGGGTGAATCGAGTAGAGGGGGACATGATTCTTTGAGGGGAGAGGGGGGCTAAAGGAGAAGGATGGGAGCAGGGAGAGAAGGGGGGAGAGAACGAGGACGAGATGGTGCATGATGAGGATTGGAGAGAACCTGGGAGGGCAATCCCCCCCCCCCCCCACCTCCCCCCCCCCCCCCCCCCCCCCCCCCCCCCCCCACCCCCCCCCCCCCACCTCCCCCCCCCCCCCCCCCCCCCCCCCCTCCGAGCGTAGGCCCCCCCCTGCCATCTCCTCCACATCGTCCTCCTCCTGCCCAGCTGGCGCCCCTCCTCGATCATTATCGTCCTCCTCATCCTTCTCATCCGCCTCCTCTCCTCCTGTGTATCATCCTCCTCTCTCCTTATCCTGCCCCCTCTCCTCCTCCACCTCTGTCTCCCCTCCTCATCGTTCTCTACCTCTTTGCCTTGCAGCAGCAGTCGCCATCGCCGCTGTCGCGGCTACAAGCGCGCCTGGGGGGCCACCACCAGCGCTGGCTTCAGCGCGGCGGTCGCGGAGAACACAGCGGCTCGCGCCTGCGGACGCTGGAGGGCCAACCCCAAGATCACCTGCCCCTCCTCCTCATTCACCTTCTCCACCTCCTCATCTTCCTTATCCCTCTTCTCCTTCTCACCTTCCTCCTCGACGCCCCTCCCCCAATGTCTCCGACGCTTCATCCATCCTTCTCCTCGCCACCCCCCCCCCCCCCCCCCGCCCCTTTAGCCGCCGAGGGTCGGTTGTCGGGCCAAGGGCGTCATGAGAAAGTTCGGGTGACATTTGAATAGCGTTTCACCGTTCAGGCCCCCATGGTCGTCTCGCAGCGGAGCCTGAAACAGTTGTGACAATGCTACAATGTTTTAGCTCCTCACAGGCCCATGGCCAGCCATTGCCATGGGCCTGTGAGGAGCCGACACGGCAACAGACATGGCCACGGCAGTCTAGGGCAGACATGGCAACGGCAGTCCAGGGCACCATCCCCCCTCGCCCATTCACCCCCCTCCCTCTGCTGATGCGAAGGGGGAGGGGCATCTGGGGGTCTGCAGAGCGCAGTCCGGAATCCCGCCATCCCCTCTCCCCCCCGCCCGAGGCACTGTGATGGACGACGACCTCAGCATCTTCATCACGGACAGCGACGACGACAGCTACGACGCCGAGGCTGAGCCTCCGCGCCCTCTCACACCTTGGCTATAACGTTCCATCCACCCGCCTTTGCCGATATTGCCTTTAAGCTCCTGCCGTATGTGCCATGTCTCTGATCTGCCCTCCACCGTGTCTCCTGCTCTCCTCCTCCTCCTCCCCAGCCTTTTCTCCTCCTCCTCATCATCCCCCCCATCCTCCCGCTTGCTTTGCCCCCCCTGCTTCCGCCCTCCTCCACGACCTCACGTGAGCCCAGTGCGCCCCCTCAAGGCGGCTTGCTGGATGTTGGATGACTCGTCGTCCAAATACGCGTGCTCGAAGTCCAAGAGGTGCCGCGTGACTTCATCGACCAGCTGGATCCGATGCCAGAAATGCAGCTTCGAAGCCGAGCTTGCGCAGAACAACCGCGCCTGCGACAGTGTCGACCAAGACTTACCAGAGGGGCCCCGTCCAGCCCCTGGCCAGCCATGGGCATCGAAGGCTCGGAAGCAATCAGAGTTGAACTTCGGCCAGCCCGACGCCAAAAAAATCAGAACTGGCAGCTCCGAGAAGCCTGCGCCTCAGACGCCCGAGGATGCCAATCCAGCTCCACGTCGCGACCCTCTCTCGGCGCTGACAGAGGCCAAGTCCAAAATGAGCATCCGCCCGCGGGTCATCGACTGGAGCTTGGTCCCCGAGTCTTGGGCGCCTTTGCTGCAGGATTGGCGGGGCCTGATGAACCCGCCGAGCATCTGATTCCTCTATCTTCTCCTTCTTTGCCTCCTCCAATCATCCTCTCCTCCTCAAATCCCCCGCCCCCTCCTCTCCCCCCCGTTGGCTTAGGGGCGCTGTAGTGTTACCCCAGAGCAGGAGTGCTTGCTCGAGCTGCGCTCCTCGGGGAGCTACGAGCCAATATTCGGCATCGACCTTTTCGCTGGCCAGGGGGGGTACGCGACGTTTTGTCGCGAACAAGGGCTACGGTGCGAACAATTCGAGAAAAACGATGGGCCTGCTGGGGACGTGCTCGACCCAGAGGGCAAGAAACGGTGAGCGGGCGGGGGTGGGTGGAGACAGAGGTCAAGATCTCAGAGTCGCTCAAACCAGGTGTTGGGTGCCCAGGGGCCAGGGCCCAGGAGCGGTAAATCCAAGAGGGAGGCGAGGGCTCAGGATCCAGGAGCCAGGGGCCTGCGAGCTCAGCGCCAGCGTCGGCAACCCAAGGGATGGGGGGAGCGAAGGGATTGGGGGGGAGGAGGAAGAGGAAGGAGGAACGAGGAGAGGAACAAAGAAGAGGAATCCATGGGGTGAGGAGAGAGGTGGGACGGAAGGATTATATCAGGAGGAGGCCCTGGAGGACCGTGGAGGAGGAGCTCGGCGGCGATGGGGGCTGGGATCGGCAGGCCCCCCCGCGATCTGGAAAGGTTGGCCATGGCGGCGCTGCAGCTTGACGACTTCTCGCTCGTCCTGGCGGGCCCCCCGTGCAAGAGCTTCGTTTGGTGTTCTTCGAACATACACCGCAGGACAGTGCCCAAACTATGCCGCCCTGTATCGCCCTTTCCTTCTCGTTCTCCAGGGGGTCCTCGGATTCGAACCTCGACCTCCCCGTCGGTCATCGGTCGATCTTCGGACTTGCGCATTTCTCGATCATCGATCATTCGCCTCCCCCTTCACTCCTGCCCCCTCGCTCTTCTCTGACCCGCCCCCGCAAGGACCAACGACAACCCCTGCGGCAACGAGCGCCTGAACTTCGTCAGCGAGGGCAACGCGTGCACGAAGACCTTGACCGAGTTCGCGCAGGTCCTGAAGGCGCCACGGTTGGGGGGGGGGGGGGGACGAGGGCGCGCAGGAGACAGATGGCGATAGATGAGTTGGAGGAGCGAGGATGAGGAGGAGGGACAACGATGAGGCAGCGGAGGAGGAGAGGAGGAGAGTAGGAGGAGGAGGAGGAGGAAAATTAGGAGGAGGAGGGAGGGATGACCAAAACCAGGAGGAGAAGGAGGAGGAGGGAGCACAGCGGAGTAGCAGTAGGAGAACGTCGTTGCGTTTCGTCGGTGCAGTCGTTGCGATCGTCTTGCCCTTCGACATGCGTGTCGCTCTCGTTGCGCTCATCGTCTTCGTCACCCTCGACGCGTCTTTGTCGTCTTGGCACCCCTCCGTGATGATGCCTCGACCCCCGACCCGAGGCGCTATCGACCATCGTGGATGTCGTCGTCGAGCAGCCCTTGTCGTCGAAGATGTTTACCCTGCCCGAGTGGACTGCTGCGACGTTCAATGATGCAGACCGCCCGTGGCGCAGAATTTCATTCCCAATGATCAAATATGGGCATGCAACCATGAAGCCCACGCAGCTCTTCAGCGACGCCCCGTGGATCATGACGCTTGCGCACAAGACCAGCCAGATCCCAGTGAAAAAGGATCTCGGTGGAGCAATGCGATCATGGAGGGGGAGAGGCTCTGAGCATGAGGAAACACGATGATGACGGGAGGACGTGACATGCGATGAGAGCAGGTGGAGATGGGCGCTAGCGGCGACGTAGATAGGGATGGCGCGAGGGCGAGGACGAGGATAACAGGATGAGGATGGGATGCGGGTTAGATCAGGAGGATGGGATGAGGGGGTGGCAGGAGGGATGAGCCAGGGCAGGTGGAGGAGGGATGGATGGAGGAGGGCAACATGAAAATAACAGGATAACGGCAGGGTGGAGAGCAGGCAGGGGAGGGCATGGAGAGGTGGCAGCAGGACAAGGGCAGCTTGACGACTGAGGGGTGATGGAGCAGCGCTTGCCAACTTGCCCAGCAGGGGCGCGAGCGTCTATATGAGGTGGACAAGCAGGGCAGGTGGACCAACTGCACGAAGGGCAACATGCGTGACAGCGCAGCGTACACCAGGCCATTCATTGTCGGCCTCCTGGAGAGTCATTCGCGCTACCACGTCAAGGATGCGATTGGGGAGGGTAACCACCGACGAACCTCTGACCACCTTCACCTTCTCACTCCTACTTCCTCTCGTCCTTCTCACTCGATCGTCCCCTCTCCCTCCTTCTCCCTCCTCCTCCACCTGCTCCCTTCCTGCCCTCTTCGCTCCTCCTTCGCTCCTCCAACCCCATGTTCGCTTCTGCCTCCTCCTCTTCCTCTTCGTGCGCGCCTGCCTCCTTGCCCCTGCTGCCCCGCCCCGCCCCAGCGCAGGAGATCCTGTCTGTCATCGAGAAGGTGAACCTCGCCCTGCTGCGCGTCCTTGGCGAGCCTGGGGCCAGGGCGGTCGTTAGCATGAGCGTTTAGATATATGTCTATAGGGCAGGTGGTCCAGAATTTCAGTATTTCTTAGGCCTCTCAATGCTTTCCTCGTCGAACCCCAGGGGGGTCAGCGACAATTCAGGTCGGGGGGCGCGACGCTGAAACCGGACCAAACCGGACCAAACCGGGCCAAACCGGACCAAACCGGACCAAACCGGACCAAACCGGACCAAACCGGACCAAAACCGGACCAAACCGGACCAAACCGGACCAAACCGGACCAAACCGGACCAAACCGGACCAAACCGGACGCCCCCTGGACCACCTACGCCCGCGCATGTGCTGAGCGGTCGGCTCGGCAGCAGGTCGACTCGAGGGCGAGCGCCCTGCCTGCTGTTTCTGTCGCGCTTCGATGCGCTGCTAAAAACACTTCCAAGCATGAAACCACAATGAATGCGTACAAAAGCCCCAGGAAAGTTCGAATCACCCCCCATGACCTTCAGTGGCCCTCAAAGACCTTCAGCAGACTTCAAAGACTTGCAAGCGCATTCCAGGACTTCGAGGACCGTGGGAACAATCTAGTCGAGACGCCCTCAAAGCGTTCCAAGATGTAAGAGCGTACACACCACACCAATGACAACGATAAAGTGCAGGGGGTGTTTATGACGCGTTGGAATCCTCGCCCAAGGGGTCCTGATGCAGCTGCTCCTCCTCCTCCTGCCCTGACCTTCCAGGGGGGCTAAAATAGCACCCGACTTAGAAACATATCCCAAAGCTATTCCACGTCCTGGTTTTAGGCTGGGTCGCTCAGCTGCTTAGGTTTTTAGGTCTCCAGTGCTAACAGATAGCTCTCTGGAAGGTCAGGGTGCTCCTCGAGCTATTCCTCCCTCATCGCCCTCCACCTCCTCATCCTCCACCTTATCCCCCTATCCTCCCCCCCCTCCTTCCCCCCTCCTCCTCTCTCTTTCTCTCGCGCCCATCCCCAGTCCTGCCCCGCGTCGCCGAAGCTTTTTAGGCACGACACGGTTGTGACGGGAAGCCAACTTGCCCATCACCAGCGCCCTCGGCACCATGGCCGAGGCAGCGCAGCATAGCCAGATCGTAGCAGACGGTGAGTTCGACGAGGTCGAACTTGAGGGCGAGGAGACCAACCCGCGCAAGAGGCAGAAGCGGGGCCCTGGCGGCATGACAGATGACGAGCTCACTGTGAAAGCTTTCAGCCGCTACGCTTCGCCAGAGTCGAAAGCGGCATACAAACAGATCAAGGGTCGGTCAGCGAAGGCAGCCTTTCGCAACGACTGGAAGGCCCAGAAATACACCAACGTCAAAACCACGGCCACTGTGACTGAGAAGGAAATCAAAACAGAGTCGGAGGTTGGTTGGCATCTCAACTTCCCCATGCTCGTGAAGGAGCAGGGTGGCCAGATCGACTTGCCCCGCGCGCAGAAGGCCGCGGCAAAGGTAGCCAAGAAGAGCCTCATCAAAGGTGCCCCCTACGTCGTCTACAACGAGTGGACCGAGGAGCTGGAGTACCTGAACCTCAAGCGGTGCAGGACCAACACGTTCAGCCAGTCCTCGGAGAGAACGACTTCAGGACACTTGAGCCAGAAGGAAAGATATGAGGACGGGGAGGATGAGGAGGATGAGGGCGAGGAGGAGGGCGAGGAGGATGAGGAGGATGAGGGCGATGAGGGCGGGGCGATGAGGATGAGGGCGAGAACGAGGGGGAGGTCGGCGAGGATGATAAGGAGGATGAAGACCATGAGGGGGATGAGGGTTATGAAGGGGACAAGTGAGGAGGAGGAGGAGGAGGAGGAGGAGGAGGAGGAGGAGGAGGATGCGAGGAGGAGGAGGAGGAGGAGAAGGAAGAGGAGGGGGATGTGGGAGAAGGAGCAAGGGCACTGCCGCCCCCCCCAGCAGGAGACGTGGTCATCCCCGAGGAGGCCTCCAAGGAGGCTCTCGCCCGCGGCCTCTCCTCGGAGCTGCCCAAGCACGTGGTGGAGGAGAGCGCGGGGATGCTGGACGGCTACATTCCAGAGACGCCGCCGCCGCGACCGCCTCAGGCAGCGACCCTCACGCCGTCGCCACAGTCGCTGAAGAAGGCTGATGAGCAGGAGCAGACGAAGGCGCCCACTTGCGAGGCAGCCCCGCAGCCAGCCACGCCGCAAGCTACCAGTGCGGCGGCCGCGCCGAGCTCAGGCCTCCCCGCGCCACGTTCGGCGACATCGCCGAGCTCATGTGCCGCGCCGAGCTCAGGAACGCCACCGTCGAGCTCTGGAATGCCGCCAAACATGGCCGAGACAGACAAGACGCTGGCGCTGAGGCTCTTGCAGAAGATCCTCGAGGGGGGCAGCGCGCCGCTGGAGAGCGACAAGCCGCAGCTGCCGCAGGAGCCCGAGCCCAGAGATGACGCTGCTCCACCCGAGCCACCAGTAGAGCCCGCGCAGCCAGCGCCGACCAGGAGCGAGACGCCAGCCCACAAGAAACTCCACATGAACGTCTTCGCTGGGGCCAAGAAGTTGCGTGATCTGAAGATCAAGGCATCTCGCTTTCGCTCGCCTCATCCAATCACCATCTGTCTTACGCCTCTCGGTTTCACTCTCTTCTCATCGCCCCCGCACCCGAGCTCCTCCTCCTCCTCCTCCCCCTCTTCCTCGGCCATCCTACTTATCCTCGTCACTTTGCTTACCCTCCTCCCCCCTCCCTCCTCCTCCTCCTCCTCATCGTCCTCCTCCGAGCTCCTCCTCCTCACCCTCCCCGCCCCCCCCTCCCCCCTCCCGCTGGCGGCAGGGCGAGAGCATCCTCAAGCACTCGCAGAACCCGCAGAGCGACTGGTACTGGGCCAAGGATGAGGTCAGCGACCTGCGGAAGGCCATCCAGGGGGAGACGGACCAGAAGGAGCCGACCGAGCTCAAGAGGGTCTTCGACAAGGCCGAGCAGGACATCCTTCTGAAGTCGCTCCAGAAATTGCTGGAGGTTGATTACAAGGACTGGGGGGATGGAGAGAAAGAGGAGGAGGAGGAGCAGGAGGAGGAGGAGGAGGAGGAGGAAGAGGAGGGGGGAGGAGCAGGGAGGATGAAGGATGAGGGGGATGAGAGGGATGAGGAGGAGTAGGATGGGCCAGGAGGAGGACGATGACAATGCCAAGGAGGAAGAGGAGGACGAGGAAGTGCGAGGTAGAAAGGTGGAAGAAATAAACATGGAGCAGGCGAATTCTCAGGAAGCAACGTTTTTTGTAGAGCTTTTCCCAGGGTCACCAAATGGGGCCTCGATTCCCTTGGCGGTCCTGGGCCCAGACGTTTCGTATATGGGGGGCCTGCAATAGGAGGAGCCGGAGAATTGGGAGTTCGCCTGCACGCCAGTCATAGCCACCGACTTGAACGTCTGGGCCCTGCACCCCTTCAAACTAAACAGGGAGATGCACATGAGGATCCAGCGGTGCAAGAAACAATTCATCTGTAGATTCTTCGACGAACGAGAGGGGAGACGTGATGGGATCAAACAGCGATTGGCGTACATATTCGGAACGCCAGCCCACCTTCTTCACCGCTATGGGACACACGAGGACAGCCCGCTAAAACATGCCCACAACCTGCTCACCCCCTGGCTTATTTAGCACCCCCCCCAAAAACATATATACATACATATATATATATATATATATGTATGACGCATTCCCTGAGAAATCCGTGGAGAACACTATGGAGTTCCTCGAGGCCACGATCAAAGAGATCAACGCTGTGACCGAGGTCCTGTCCAAGGTCTTGCTCCCCCTGCAGCGCACGCACGCGAGCAAGTACCAGTCAGTAGATACCGAGGCTAAGGTCAAACCTAAGGGCAAGGCCAAACCTAAGGCCAAGCAGATGGCGTAGGCGAAGCCACTGTAAGTAGGATCACCCCCCCTTCCTTCTCTTCCACATCCACCTCCAGAGCCTCATGTATCTCCTCCTCCTCCTCCTCCAGAGCCCCAGCCGTGTTTGGCAGCGTTTTCGTTGCTGGTGAATTCGGCCAGTTCTGCGTGTGTCTAAAATCTGTGAGGTTTCGTGGTTGTTCACGGCTTCGCCGTCAGTCGCATGCTGTGGCCACAGAGTCGCAGGTTTTCGAAGTAGCTCTGTTGGCCGCGCGGTGTCTACAGATATCAGCAGACGCTCGGGTACAAACATGCCCTGGAATGTTGCTACCCCCATGGGACCTTGGACGGGGCGCCCCCGCCCAGGTGCTGATTGACCACCCTCCCTGCCAATTCTGCCGAAGCCGCGCGTCGGCCTGAGGGCCAGGGATCCCAGCAGGCAAACCAGGGGGGGGATGCGTTCGGGGGCCAGGGGCCTGTGAATATGGATCCAGCCCTTTCCTGCTCGGTGTTTGCGCTGCCCCTCCTGTCAAGTCATGAGCTTCCTAAGCCTTAAGTTTCTGGCTCTCGTGCCCTTCCCCTGCAGCCTTCCTCTCAAGGTCTTCCCCTTCTGACTCGCCCGTCACTCTTATCCGCCGCTCACCCTCGGAAGATCTCACTGTGCGTTAGGGGTGCAACGCGAAGCCGATAGTCAGAAACCCTGCGTCGAGATAACTAGCCAGCTGAGGACACCTGGATGAACAGTTCCTGGCAATGGGGGTGATGTCAGCTTCGCACCTGCGGGTGTCAGCGGTGCTGTTCCTCCCTTGATCCACGTGGGGGAAATGATCATCCTGGTGTAACGAATACCGCATCTCCTCTGTATCCCTGCTGCCTCTCCTCTCCTGTCGGCCCCCCCTCCTCCTACTGCTTCTCACTGGCTCCTCAAGAACTTCTCTTATCCTCCCTCTACTCGGGATGCTGCTACCCCCACTACCAACCCGCTGCCCCCCCCCCCCCCCCCCCCCCCCCCCCTCTCTGCGACCCCCTCCATAGCCCCATGCGCCCCAATGCGGGCGGCGACGGGTCGCCTCCAGGGCAACGCCCCGCGCGTCGGACATGACGCCGCGGCGCCCGGCGGCCGCGCCCTGAGGCGGCGCCTCGCCAGAACCGTGCGCCCAGGGCCCGCAGCGGCGGCGTCGGTCCAGCAGTGAGTTCGAAACGCGCGAGCCCACGAGCAAGGCCCGAAGGGCTAAGGTCAGGGGGCAGGGGGGGGGGGGGCTCTACTGCTCCAATCCACCTCTGTGCTCCTGCCCCCCCCCCCCTCCCCCCCGTCTCCCTGCCCAACAACCCCCTGCTCAATCGCCCTTCTCGTCCTCTTCCCCCCTCCTCACCCTTATAGATCACAAGTCATCTTTTCCTCGTCGACTCCTCCCCGTCAGACCTCCTTCCCCCCTACTCAGCCCTGGCGCGTTCGCTGCCGCCGCCCCACCACGGCCTTCTTGACCTCCCCTCATTCCTCTCTCTCTTCTCTCTCTCTCTCTCTCTCTCTCTTCTATCTCTATCTCTCTCTCTCTCTCTCTCTCTCCCTCTCTCTCTTCTCTCTTCTCTCTTCTCTCTCTCTCTCTCTCTCTCTCTCTCTCTCTCTCTCTCTCTCTCTCTCTCTCTCTCTCTCTCTCTCTTGCTATATGTCTCATTCTCTCCCGCGTTCTCTCGATCGAATATCTCTCAGCATCATCCTCGTCCTCTCCTCTCTCTCTGCATCCCGCCCTATGTCTCTCATGGTTGATATATGTGTGTCGTCATTTATTTGCGTTTGTGTTCCCCTCTCTCTCTCTCTATCTCTCTCCTCTTTTTTTTTTTCTCTCTCTCTCTCCTCTCTCTCTCGCTCTCTCTCTCTCTCTCTCTCTCTCTCTCTCTCTCTCTCTCTCTCTCTCTCTCACTCTCTCTATCTCTCTCCCCACCCCTTTCCCAAACCTTTCATTATCATTATCCTCCCTCTCCACTTCCTCATCGCCCGTTTTCTTCCTCGCCTTTCTCCTCCCACATGCGCCTCCGCATCCCCTCGCATCCCCCTCTCCCGCCTGGCCCTGCGGGGTCCCAGTTGGCTCATGGCCGAGGGCCGCTGCGCTCGAAAGGAGAGGGGGGTGCTGCGCAGGCGATTCATTACCGGACCTTCGGGCGAAGTCGAAGACGGGCAAGGGGGGCTCGGGGGCAGTAGGATAACGACGAGGAGGCGGAGGCGCCGAGGAGGAGGGGGGGGAGGAGACGCGGAGAAGAGGACGAGGATGCAGCATGAAAAGGTCTGTTCAGACCACTCCTCCTTGCCGTCTGCTCCCCTTGCTCTACTTCCTCGTCCTCCTTCGCCTCCTCCTGCTCCTCCTCTCACCTGTGTTCCCGTCCCATCGTGGTCGCCCTCCTGCTCTTCATCATTATGCTCCTCATCCTGCTCCTACTCCTGCTCTCGTTGCTTGCCCTGCCCTCCTGGGGGCCTCGTCGCTGCAATCTCATCCACCACCCAACTATCGTCATCCTCAGTAGGTCATTCCTCCTCTCGATCCTCGCCATCCCTCATCCCCCTCCCCTCCTTCCCTCCTCCTCCTCGTCCTCCTCCTCCTCCTCCTCCTCTTCCCCCTCGCTCCCCCCCCCCCCCCCCCCCCCCCGCCCCCGCCCACCCCGCGACCCATCGGGTTAGGATGCAACTGGGGGCTCAAGGGTTTGGGCTGATTCAAAACGGGGGCCCAACGCCAATGTCAAAACGAGAGCCCAACGTCAACGTAGGCAGGCCTTGCCGCCACCCTCGCCCCCTAGCATCATGGTCGCCGCCCCCCTCGTCTCGGCCCTTGTTGCCCGCCTCGGCTGCCCCCCTCCGCCGAGGAGAAGCAGGCGGCAGAGCGCAAGCTGCAGAGCGCCTACGACCCAGGGAGCCCCGAGGACAAGCTACACGTCGGGCTGGCGCCAATCCCCGAGAAGACCCCAAGATGAGTCGGAAGGGGCCGCGTGCCCAGTAGGGATACGTGTCCGGAATGCTATCCTCCTCCTCCTCCTCCTCCTCCTCCTCCTCCTCCTGCTTCTCCTCCCCATCCTGCTGCTCCTCCCCCTCGCGTGCATTTCAACCTTGCTCTTCCGCTGTCCTTCACCCTTCCTTCCTCCGCCTCCTGCTCCTCTGCCTTTGCCCTTTCCTCCTGGTTGTCCTGCAACTGCCCATACAGCCCCCTCTGCCGATGCCGCCTTGGGCGCCCAAGGGCCAGTGGATTCAAGTTCTGCGTGGGGAAATGGGCAGCAGGACATTGGTCGTCGAGGGATTTAGTGGTGTTGGCAGATATCGTGTGCAATTCTTCAGGCAAGGGCCTGGAAAGTCTCGCGGTGGGAGCGGGCGCCCGCGGCAGCAATCATTCGAGAGCAGTCCAGAGAGCCCTTGGGATACAGTCTTTGAACGACTTCATATATGAAGCAGCTGTTCCAGTGTATGTAGCCAGTGAAAATAAGCTCGATGTGATCTCGTTTCCAGTTCGCCTTCCACACGACGTCATCTATCACGCTGCCAGGGACAGCCCAGGCGACCTCGACATTCGCACGGTCGACCCGTTGGACTTTCGCACTAAGCAGTTCCTCTCTCACCCCGTGGTTTTAGAGCACGGCGAGAACAATGTGTTGCCACTAGGCATTTACACGGACAAAGTTGCAGTTGGGAAAACTGATTCGATAGTG